TGGGTGCGCGGGGTCGGAGTTGGAGGGGGCGGAGAGAGTACCCTAGCGGGAGGAGAAAGAACTTTGGGCCGTAGTGCCACGACTGGTGCAGGAAGCTGGGAAGCAACACCGGGGTGAGTATATGAAACTGTTTGGCCAGATACTGGTATCTGGGTGACAACACATGCGGCAGTGGCCGAAGCGGCAGGGGCGGCGGGAGCGACGGGGGCCAATGGATGTGCCACAACAGACGGTATGGTCTGAGCGACAGCAACACTCACCACTGCGGAGGGGGAGTGTTGGGCCTGGCCCGCGGAGGAGGACGAACCACCACGTCTCTGTCACTGGAGTCGTGGAGATCCGAACTCAGAGCCGGTAGGGGATGGGGTCTGAGAGCAGTCGGGAGAGCGATGAGGAGAACCCTTGAGGCGGTGAACTTCAAGGGCGAGCGCATTGACTTGCCTCTCCAGGGGTGCAAGCGCATCGAGTCGCGCTTGCAGAGATGCAAGGAGAGAAGCAAGAACAACGCGAAGGTCTGTGGGGTCCACAATGTGTTGACCTTGACTGTCGGGTGAATGGACGCCTGAGAGGTGGATGGCGCCGCAACAATCTCCTCAGCTGTAACCCTGTCTGTGGGCGGTGGAGGAAGAGAGGTAGACATGGTGGGAGGTGGGGGGAGAGATGGGTTGTGGTATGGCGGCAGGGGACCATCGGTGAGAGGGAGGGGACCGCGAGAGCGGAGTGGGTAGTCGTGGGTCGGCTCACACCGTGACCAGCGGGTCGCGCGTGAGATGGTGGCGCGAATCCGGTCGAGGGGAAAGGAGCCGTTCGGGTCCAGGGTGCCCGATGGGAGAAAGCGGGATAGTAAGGGGGGTTGGGAGAACCCTAAGCCCTAGAAAAAACCTAAGAAAACCCTAACCGGGGTTTGCGTGGTTAGGGGAGGGTAGCGACGACCTAATCAAGAAAATAAAATAATAACCATGGAGGGAAGAGGGAGAGAAAATAAAATAAACAATGAAATTTTGAGATAAAAATAATAATAATAATTATAATAAAAAAAAATAAACAAAATGTGAAGAGAGAAGTAATATTTATTTTTTTGGAATTTTCGACAGTATTTCCTTACCCCAGAGGAGTCAAGAATGTGCCAAGAGGAAGGAGAGACAAAGATGAGCACACTAAAGTTCAAAATGCCGCAAATTATAAATTTAAAAAAAATAAATTTAAAAAAATAAGTAGAGGAGGGGGTGAAGAGAAACTAAGTGTTGTTTTTTTTTCAAAAATTTTGGCAGCATTTCATTACCCCCATGGGGTCGAAGTGTGCCGTCAAGAAGAAAAAGTAAAATCAGAAAAACTTGTCAGCACTTCGCTAGCCCTAAAGGGTCAAAATGTGCTGAAAAAGATTAAGTAAAAGAAAAAAAAAAACCAGAAAATTTTGGCAGCACTTCGTTACCCCCACGGGGTCAAAATGTGTGTCGAAGCAAGAATGACTGTCGAAGCAAGAATGACTAAATCCTAATCAAATTTGAGGGTGCCGCAAAGAAATTCGAATTTTCAGAATAAATAAATAAATAAAAAAAATAAATAAAAAAATGAGAAAAGAAGGTGCGAAATAAGATAATTCGAATCTTTGGAAAAAGGAGGAAATATAAATAAAAAAGAAGGATAAAAAGAACAAAAACAAAAAATTTTCGAAGTTGGGGGGGAAGGGGGATGAAAAAGTATAAAAAAAAAAGAGAAATAGGTGAGAAAGAGAAAAAAAGTGAAGGAAGAGATGGGGGAAATGATGGGGTTGTCGTCCGGGGGGGGAAGAGGGAGAGAGGAGGGTCGTAGAATGGGAAAGAAGGATACAGAAAAGGTGGAGAGGAGTATATGAGATTAGTCGAAGATGGTGAGTCGTGAGGAGAGGAGAGAAAAAAGTTGTGAAAGATGAGTGAAGAGGGAGGTAGGAGGAGAGAGTAGTGGTAGGGTTCGAAAGGATGATTAGATGATGGGGGGAAAAGAGAGAAGAGGTTGGCGGAGAGTAGGTTAGTGGTAGGATGGTGATACCAAGCTCTTGGTGGCCAAGAGCAGAGCACTACCAAGATCCACAGGATCTTGGCCTTCAAGATGTTGCTGGCCTGATGCCACTACAATAAAAAAATCTGGGGTGGTGGGCTGAGATCTTGATCAGCCACCCAGATGTCACTTTAGTGCAGCCCCCTAGCCAGGGGGGTCTTCAAGATCCACAGCAAGTTGCCACGTGGCACAGCTGAGAGGCAGCACATGCCAGCCACGTGCACAGGCGACATGTTACATCTTCGACGCCACACGGGTCCTGCCGAACCCGACTTAGGGTTAGAGGGACACAGTAGGGCCTAAAGGCCCGACCTTGGGGGTACTATAGGCCGTAAAGGCCTCACCTTGGACCAGACCCGACAGGCAGGCCCAAACGACAGTACCGTTTGGGCCTAGCGGCGCTCTTGAAGTTGCCGCCCGCCGGTTGGGGCTGAACCGTCCATCTKGACGGTTCAGGGCACGGCCAGGCCTCGCAGCATTGAGGCCGGCCTCTACCCCACCGGTACAAAAGTACCGGTCCAGCCTCATTCAGACCATCGACCCACCGACACTCTAACGGTGCGGTATGGTACGGCGTGAACAGCGCTGACGCTATACTTAGCGCATGAGAACGAGGAGCAGCGGCCGCAGCAGCATTAGCGCAGCAGCAGCGGCGACTGGGCGTATCGGCGGCCATAGTCGCCCGAGGTATCGGAAGTCGAAGGTTTCTCTCCTCCCTCCCATCGCCAGTCCCCTCTCTCTCTCTCTCCTCCTCGGCTCCCTTCTTCTTCTTCTTCTTCTTCTCTTCAGACTTCATCTTCTTCTTCTTCTTCTTCTTAACAGCCATTTCGTCAAAACGGACATATTATATTTTTTGAATGAAATCAAAACTGACTTTTTTTGCCAAAATCCGGTCGGAATTTTTTGCTCCTGGGAACGCCGGACCCCCCTGGTCTATGGTTGAGACCAGATACTTCTTTTTTTTATTTTTTTATTTTTTTTTTATTGTTGTTGTTGTATCTGGTCTTAACCATAGACCAGGGGGGTCCGGCGTTTTGGGAACGTCGGACCCCCAGGAGCAAAAAATTCCGACCGGATTTTGGCAAAAAAAGTCAGTTTTGATTTCGTTCAAAAAATATAATATGTCCGTTTTGACGAAATGGCTGTTTCTTCTTCTTCTTCTTCTTCTTCTTCAGACTGGAGACTTTTACTAGTTGGACAAAGATCAAAGTTGGACTTCGGTGGTAAGAGGCTGTGGTACTTACCGGGTTCGAGACTTGGAGATTGTTGGGGATGATACTCGGCTGCATCACAGATTTGACGCCGGTTACATTAGGACTTTGTATCTCCGACATTGGTGACTAATTGTCCTCGACATTTTGATCTTGTTCGATGACATTTTGAATTACCATATCGGTGACCTACTGGTTTCTATCTCAGTGACATTTGGTGCTACCTACATCTCCCACCTCCTTCGTCTCTCCTCCCACCTTCATCTGTGCATGTGTGTACGGGGCTGAGCATCGTCCATGTATGGCTCAGACCCCACCATCTCACGATTGTATGTGTGTGGAGTGATATCTATGTGAGTTAGTCCGTTTATCAGACTTCCGCTGCATATATGCTCATCCTACATTGGTTGATCTTTGGTTCTGCCCATACTCATTGAAGTATGTAACAGTTTTGGTATCGGAGCAGACCATTTCACGGATCTGCTCACCAGGTAAGTCTGATTAGGTAGTAGATTGTTTTTTTCAATCATCTAAATCAGCTCTGAATTACTATCGAGTTAAAAGTTGCAATTTTTTTTTCTTTTTTCGGTATTCTATTTATTTCGGCATTGCCGTTTCAATTCGGTATTCGGACTTATAATTCGGAATTCTGTTTTTTCCGGTATGATGTTTATTTGGGTTCTGATTAATTGATACTAATCCGATAATTTGTTAGATTCGGATTTCTGATTTTAAAACGTATTAGGGTTGAATCAGTATCCTGTTGAAATTCGACATTCTGATTTCCATTCAGCATTCCATTTTTAATTTCGGCATTCTGTTGTAAATCCTACGTTTCGTTTTTCTTTTGGTATTTCCGTTTTCCTTCAGTATTGGAAATTAGGGTTATGGAATTTTTTTGGTTTTTAATCAACTTGGGGAATTCGAACGTTTTGGGACCGTAAATCCGGAAATTCCGCCGAAACGCGGAAAATTAGGGTTGGAACCGAAATTTTCGCGAAAAGTTTTTTATTTCCCTTGTTTGAGAAATTCCGAAAACGGACTTAGACCTTTAAAATTCGGATTTTGACGGTGGAAATTCCTGAAATTTCACGTTTTCTGAAAATTCGAGTGTTTTTCTCCTCATTTTTCCGAATTTTTTTTTGGCAAACTAATCCGAATCTGACCCTCAGCATTGCAACTTCCGGGTAGTTCACTAATTAACGGTGAACTCCCGGACTCAAAGATGATCTCAAGGGATACCTAATCTTGATACAATTCAAATTCGTTCATKATYATTATTGCAAATATTGTTTATTGATTATCATTAAGAATTATTATTTCGTTATTAATCTTTATTGATTAAATAATTCGTTATTATTTTTCTTATTACAAATTTTCGAGTTGTTTACGTGAAAATTTATTTTTTTCTACTTGATTAGGTGTCTAAGTCCATCCTTGGGACAGGGACTGTATGTTTATTGCTTGATCTGTTCTATCCTGTGCCCACCCTCTCCCTCACACTGTTCTGCGATCCTTCGGACGAGCCAGCCTCCAGCAACAGTTCCTGATGCCATCAGGGCCAGCCTCCGAACAGCAGCCACGAAGCAGCAAGCGGATCGCCGATCACCAACAGCAACAACAACAACAACCTCCAGCTCAACAACCGCCACAGACCAGTACTCAGATGGCGAACACGCCACACCGGATCATTATCCGAGGGTTCGACAGCTAGTAATGCTGAACCCTTACCGGTCTGTTCGGTGCAAGGGTCGAATGAGCCCCTCCCAGACTTCATTCAGAGAATGCACGACTATACAGTCGCACTCACCCGTGTCAAGGAACAGCAAGAGGCTACCGCAACCGAAAGACTACGGCTAGCAGAGGAAGTTGCAACACAAACCCGGCGTCAAGCCGAGGCAGACCAGTTGGCGATCGACCAGCTCAACGTCGACAACGCTGAACTTGTAAGTGTTAGTCAAGCACAATGGACATCGGTACTCAATGGGATACGTTATGTCCCCGTACCTGGCAACGAGCCAACGACAGTGCAACAGGAGAGGCAAGACCTGGCAGATATTCTACTCAATACAATGCGCGCCGTCATTTGGAACAGCACCATGGGGGAGCTGCATTCCCAGGCCACACGGCAGTTGCAGCACGATCTGAGCCACAGCGTGAAGACGCTTGCAGCAGCTGTCAAGGTCGCGGACAACCAGCTGAAACAGCTGGATGCACGCATTGCTACCTTGGAGGCAAGGCCTCCCCAAGCAGCGCCAGACTGCACGACAGATATGACAGACATGAAGAAGCAGCTCAATGGGCGCATCGATCATGTCGTCAATCTCATCGGCGACATAGGTGTTTTCAATGGGCCGGACACGATCAGTAGCACGGTGGCCGCCATCAAAACGGACATCACCAAGCTGCAGACGAGACCGGAGGCCGCTACCAAGAATTTCAAGATGCCGCAGTTCACCATCAGCAAGTTCGACGACTACAACAAGACCGACGCTTTGACATGGTGGCAAGGTTTCCTCACGGAAGCATCCTGCCGCACTGTCCCGACTGACGGCATGTTGAAGGCGCTCTACCTACAACTAATTGGAGGAGCGCAGGCATGGATGAATCACCTGGCGGCTACCAAGCAATGCGCTATCGCCGAACTCCACACGCACATTACGTGGAAGGAGTTCGAGCAACTATGGATCACCCGATTCATGGTCCGCAACGTCGTGAAGGCGGCCATGAACGAGGTGTACACTTGCTCACAGGGAAATATGCCAACTCGAGACTGGATGATTAAGTGGCAGAAGATAGTGACCACGCCAGGCTTCGATTTGAGTTTTACAAACCAACGATCCGAGTTCTTCTCGCAATCATGCGTAGGATTGCGGTCGGCATTCGGCGACGAGTACGACTATACCTCGTTCCAGGTTATTCTGGACCGCGCAAACTTGGTCATCCAAACGGACGACAAGGCCGCCAACGAGAAGCAGTCCCAGTCGCACTATGTGGCTAAGCCGGCCTATCAACGACCAGCACATAACAATGTTGTGATTTCTGAAGAAACAGTCGATCTCCACGCTGCAGCAGCATCCTCGAGTGATGGAGGAATTGTAGCAGCGCTCCCGCCGAAGCGTCCCAAGAGAGTTCGGAAGAACAAGGCGACACAAGAGACGRCATCGACGGGAACTGGGCAGCAGCCATGGACGACATACAAGACAACCAAGGAAATCTTTGACTTACGTCAACGGTACAGTTATTGCCTATGGTGCAATAGTGTCGTACACACTACCGCACAATGCCCGGACAAGGGCAAGGCACGCGTACCCCGTCCAGCAAACTCGGGAAACTGAGTTACGCAAGGAGAGGGGCGACGTCTCTCCTCACTCCGCCGGACCCGCTTGCCTTGCTAGCAATCGATGTTATTACCAGAGAGCATGCGTTAGTCGCTGATTCTCGTGCTACGTACGAGGATTATGTCGCGCAACTGGTACCACCACTAGACCAGCCAAGCTACGTGCACTTAGATTGCGTATGCGCAGCCTGTACACCGTCGGCAAGTGATCCGGTCAGTTCGCCACTGATTTCCGAGGATTCGACGGCGTGGTTAAGACTTGAGGAGCTTGACCCGCTCACGAGAGAGGACTTCGTTTGGATGCCTATACCCTCGACCGGAACCTTGCCAAGGCCGCATTGCAACGCCTTGATGGCAAATCTACGCTCCTATTTGCACACTACAGTACCAGCTCCGTTGACGGACGACGGGGTAGCGGTTGCCGATCTTCGCTCCTATCTTGCGAAAATTGACCGCGAGTACGCCACCCAAAGGTACGCCGAAACCGACGCGCCTTTGCTCTATATCCGCATTCAAATCGGAAAGGCGGGACCTGTAGTGCCTTGATTGATTGCGGAGCGTCTCGCAACTTTATGAGCCAAGCCTTTGTGGCCCGCGCAAGCCTTGGCCCGCGCGTTCGAAGGAAGACACAACCTACGCAAGTTACACTCGCGGACGGCCGCACACAAAAGTCAATTGACCGATGCATCGACGGCGTCCTGATATACTTTGCGCCACTTGCGTGCGAGCTGGTGTCTTTTGATATCCTCGACACCAAGTTCGGCATGATTCTAGGCATGTCTTGGTTGCGTAGCGCCGATCATCCGGTGAACTTTCATGACCGAACCGTTCACATCCGTGATCGGAACGGAGTGTTAGTCCCATGTACGGTCGCGACCCCTCACACTTCGATTGCTTGTCACGTGGTTTCCGTTGCGCGAATTCGCGATGCCAAAGCTCGGAATGACGTCGAGGAGATGGACCTTGTATTCTTGCATGCTCTCCCCTCGCCGGACGGACCAGCCGCGTCACCGCCGGACCCACGCATTTCTCACCTCTTGGACGAGTATAGAGACATCTTCGAGGCTCCCACCGGAACGGTTCCGGATCGGCCCATACGTCACGGGATCACTCTCGAGGCTGGCGCCGTCCCTCCGCGTGGATGTATCTACCGCATGAGCGAAGAGGAACTCGAGGTGCTTCGCGCACAACTTGATGAACTTCTCGACAAGGGCTGGATTCGCCCTAGTTGTTCGCCCTACGGTGCCCCTGTTCTCCTCGCCCGGAAGAAGTACAAAGATCTACGGTTATGCATCGATTATTGTAAACTTAACGCACAAACCGTAAAGAACGCCGGTCCTCTCCCTCGGATTGATGATCTTCTTGAGCGGTTACGCGGCGCGACGTACTTCTCGAAGTTGGACTTGAAGTCAGGTTACCACCAGATTGAAATCCATCCTCAAGATCGGTACAAGACCGCGTTCAAAGTGCAGTACGGGCATTTTGAGTGGGTTGTCATGCCCTTTGGCCTCACCAATGCCCCCGCGACTTTCCAAGCAGCGATGACGACTGAGTTTAGCGACTTGCTCGATCGCAGCGTCCTCATCTACCTTGATGACATCTTGGTTTACAGTAGGACGTTGGATGAGCACATCGTACACCTTCGCGTTGTTCTGGATCGTTTGCGACTAGCCAAGTACAAAGCGAATCTCGACAAGTGCGAGTTCGCCAAGCAGGAGCTCGAGTACTTGGGTCATTTTGTCACGCTGAAAGGCATTCCTCCCTTAGCGGACAAGATCCAAGCCATCGTGGATTGGTCGGAACCCCGTTGCACAACGGATGTACGCTCTTTCATGGGTTTGGTTGAATATTATCCGCGATTCGTCGAGTCATACTCGAAAGTGGCCGCTCCTTTGTCGAGACTTCAGTCCCCGAAGGTGCCCTTCGAATTCGACGACGCAGCCCGTGGCGCGTTCACTACGTTGAAGGCAGCGATGCAAGCCGCACCTGCCCTCCGTATATATGACCCCACCCTTCCCACCCAAGTGACTACGGACGCTTCGGGATACGGTATTGGTGCGGTGTTGGAACAATGTCACGAAGACGGTTGACATCCGGTGGAGTATTTCTCCCAAAAGGTGCCTCTCGTCAACACTCTCTTCGATGCTAGGAAGAAAGAGTTACTCGAGTTCGTCACCGTTCTCAAACGGTGGCGCCACTTTCTCCTCGGCCGTCGGCGTTTTAAATGGAATACGGACAACAATCCGTTGACCTTTTACAAAACGCAGGATACGGTCATGAGCACGATCGGTCGATGGATGTACTACATCGACCAGTTCGACTTTGACCCGTGCCACATTCCCGGTCCCGCCAATCGAGCTCTGGACGCCCTCTCACGACGGCCCAATTCTTGTGCCATTGTGACCATGGCATTCGACCTCGATGACGATCTGCAGCCGCATTTCGTCAAAGGCTACAAGTCCGATCCGACTTACTCTACGCTTTACGCGGAGCTTTCATCGGATCACCCGCCGGCTAGCCACTATCGGATTTCCGACGGGTTCCTTCTCCTTCACACGAGAGGAAAGG